GCTCAAAGGATAAATGTGTTGTACAATAGGAAAATATGAAGAAACTGACAAATGAAATGAAATCCAGCCCAAACTAAACACATATTTATTTGCACTTAGCAGAAGGGAAAATGTGCTATCTTAGAAACTGATGCAGTCCTAAGAACATTTCCCAATTTCAAAGTATTGTGTCATTTGAACATGCCTCTTAGGTTAAAAAGATTCCCAGCGTGTGCCCTGAACAGGAATATGACAGAAAATCTTCAAGGAGTTCATTTTCACTAATTTCATATTTTATTTGTGCAAAATATATTTTTCTGTTCTTTCAGCAACCAAAGTTTACTCGCTTTTTTTGGATTCAGACAGTCTGTCTTCTAACAATTCAATCTTTGATAAACAATCACAGCACCTTTTACATTTTAACGTGCACATGAACCATGTCAGCATTGTCATTCCATTTCTTTCCTAATCATCCAGTTCTGTTTCCTTACCTCCAACAATTAGGGTGGATCCGTTGCCAAAAGTCAAGATGATGTACGAATCGGTACAGTAATAAACCCCAGAGTCATTCCGTTGGGCATTGTAGATTGCCAGTGTCAAGTTGTGTCCTTCCGATATGCAAGCAACTTTTACATTTTGATCATCTGAGCATCTCTTAATTAACATGGGGGCCTCGCCTTCTCGTCTCCTGTACCACTGAACTGTCACACCTCCTTCTAAAAATTGTTCTTTGGAAGAGCACTGGATCTTCGCCGTATCATTAATGTTCACAAACAGGAACGGCTGAGGTTGGTGCAGATATCCCTGCACTCGTACCACTGCAGGAAGAAAAGAGGTTGCGTTATTAGAGTCAATTTTCAGCAGGTCACAGTCTGCCCTAAATAAACTGGATTGTTCAGAATTAAACCAAATGCAATCAGATTCCATTGTGCAAGAGTAAATGGAAGAGCATCTAAACTGCAGCAGAACTGTCCTAAGCTACCAGACATCGTGAAAGCCTTATTGAAAAGGCTCCTTTTTCAATTCTAAAGCTTAAGGATACGACGACAGCAAAAGCTTTACCCATGAAAGACCAAAGCAGATATTTGGTGACCAGCATGATCGTTACAAACAAGATCCTGGAAGATGAAATCTAAAGCATCTGTCTGGCAGGCTGCTCGAGTGCAAAGGGTTCAACCTCCTGATCGGAACTGCTGAGGGGGCTGTGCTGTGGTGATAGGTGCTTTTCACCGAGGCTTCTTAAAGAACCCTTTGGGGACAATTTATTTCTTGTCGGCTGTTGCTGCGTTTGAATCAAATATGGACGGATTAGAACAATTCAGAATAACAAAATAACTATTAGGATGCGGCACCATGTAGAATATGCCTGAGAGAGTTCAACACAGAAGAATGTCTAGTGCAGAGACAAGTAGCAGAGGGGTAGCCGTGTTAGTCGGAATCTGTAAAAAGCAACAGAGGGTCCTGTGGCACCTTTAAGACTAACAGAAGTATTGGGAGCATAAGCTACCAGGGCTTTCCGACGGGTCAGACTGCTGCAGATCACACTGGCTAAAGGTGCGATTGTGTAGACAGCATTGCACCCTGCTGCCTATTGCAAATGATTTTCCCAAGGATCGGCACCCACCATTAGGCCAGATTTTTAAAGAGCCCAGCTCCCATTAAGGCACTTAATGAATGGCACGATTTTCAACTGTGCTCAGCCCCCACTGGCACACTTACGGCTGGATTCCCAAGAGATCAGGATCCAATGGGCGGTTAATGAGCCGCGCACTTGTAAAAATCTGGCCCTTATTGAGGTGCCTAAGGGTACGTCCGCACTGCAGCTGGCAGGGTAGTTCCCAGCCCAGGTAGACAGACATGCACTAGCTCTGCTCTAGCTAGTGTGGTGAAAATAGCAGTGTGACCATAGAGACATGGGCGGTAGCTCGGCCCAGCTGTGCAAGTACATGTCCAGGATTTCGGGCAGAATTGTACTTGGGACGTCAGCCCGAGCTGCCACCTGTGTCGCCGTGGCCACACTGCTATTTTTCAGGGCACTGCATTGAGCAGTGACCCTCCTGGCTGCTTTGTAGACGTGCCCTAAATGGGAGCTGGGCTCTTCTGGAAGTGCGGCCCCTGCTGTGGGTGATGAACAGCTGAGAAACGGGCTCCTCCCTGCGGCCTCAGTATTTTACCCACCACTGCGCCTTATTGGTTGACAACATGATAGTGAACAGTAATTTGGGACCAGATCCTCAGCTGGTGTAAATCAGCATCGCTCCACTGATGCCAATGAACTGACGCTGATTTACCCTAGATGAGGATCTGGCCCTTGGAGGTCTTTAAGGGAATCCTGAACGCTCACAGTGCGGCTCGCTTGAGAAATGAGACCAGGAAATCCCATGGCTGGATTTCCAGACCCAAGAACAGTCAAGCTTTGTCACCTGACTCCAAACTCTGCAGTTCAGATCCCTCATTTTTGCACACCCCAACTTCCCATTGATTTGAGTGGGATAGTGCTGGGTGCACCAGGAACACAGGGTCTGGCCTTGTAGCCCAGAGTTTGGGGGGCTGTAAGGGGCATCGTGGGTGCCCTGCAAACACTTCATGCAGCACAATACACCTGATTGGGGTAGCTTTGATACTTGTGCCTGGAATTATTATCATAAAAGGGAGCCAAAGAATATGCACATCATGAGTAAATCCCAAAGCACTTTACCAAGGAAGTCAGTAATCTTATATCCATTTTACAGATGTGGAAACTGAGGCACAGAGCAGGGAAGTGATTTACCTAAAATAATCCCACATCAGAGCTGGGAATAAAACCCACGTCTCTGTCCAGTGCTCTATCCACTAGGCAACACTGCACAGTGGATAATTAGTGACTGCTCTATTTTCTCAATGTCTCTGGTTTGTGCTGTAACATTTACTTTGTTTCACACTGCTGAATGGTAAATCCCGGTTTTTGCAGTAATTTCATGGACTGTTCTGCTTCACCTTTGCTCTAACCGTCCTCTGGCTGCAGATGAACTGGGGGGAGCTGTTTACACTTCCTTGGTAACCGAACAACAAACAAAAGAAAAGTGGCAAAAGAAGTGGGCTGAAACTGACCACAGCAGCAAGTGCAACTTTCCGAGCAGCCAGTTCTGATCTATTTTTAAACGATTGGCCCTTTGCAGCAAACACGGCTGTTTGTCCTGTAGCCTGTGGTTTTCTAACCTTGGTTTCAATTTGTTTTTATAAAACATAACGTAGAAATAAAATCAAAACTATGACAGTCACTTTGTCTTTGTCTTGGCTTTTAATAGACTTGTACAGAAGAAGATTAACTATAAAAGGAATTTGTATCAGTTAAGTGTGACTGGGGGCAGTAATCTTAAGGTATGTTTGAAAATTTCTTTCGGCCTTCCTTCATAGGTCATGTTCTCAAGACCTTTAATCATTCTTGTTGCTCTTCTCTGGACCCTCTCCAATTTCTCCACATCTTTCTTGAAATGCGGTGCCCAGAACTGGACAATACTCCAGCTGAGGCCTAATCAGCGCAGAGTAAAGCGGAAGAATGACTTCTCGTGTCTTGCTCACAACACACCTGTTAATGCATCCCAGAATCATGTTTGCTTTTTTTGCAACAGCATCACACTGTTGACTCATATTTAGCTTGTGGTCCACTATAACTCCTAGATCCCTTTCTGCCGTACTCCTTCCTAGACAGTCTCTTCCCATTCTGTATGTGTTGCATACCTTTGCATGGGATGATGCCAATACACCGGTACAAAGCACATCTATGGCACTAGGCCCCCAGTTCAGCAAACCTCTGTTAATCTCGCTGTGTACTTTTTTATTCTCACCACCCTGCTGCAGAGTAGGGAGGAATTATCCCCATTTTACAGCTGGGGAGTGGAGGCCCAGAGAGACTTGGGGTAACATGTTCAAAAGCCCCTAAGTGATTGGGAGGCAGAGTCCCACTTTCAACAGGGACTAAGGCTTGAAAGTCACTGGGATGTAAGTGACCAGCCCTCGGTCATACACGGAGCCTGTGGCAGAACAGGGATTGGACCCCGAGTGCCTGGCTCGCACCTTGAC